CATGTCCCCCCTGGTCATCTCGACTGTGTGCACACTGCACTTAGCCCAGCCCACCTGCCCCATCCTGGAAGTAGTTTCCCTTCCTTACTCTTGTGTAGTATTTATCTCTGTCCCTACTTCGTGCTGCTAATTGCCTTGGTGCGCATCATTGTGTTTTGTGTAAGTATTTAATGAGTCACCACAGGCATCATTTTTATTCAGTTATGTGAGAATTAGACTTGTGAAAAGACTTGAGCATTTTTTAATTAAGTATATTTTTATTTATACTTCTGTTGAGAAAGGTAAGCATTAGAATTCTGTATTCAGATGCAGAGCAATCAGCAAGTGAGCCTAGATCTGCATTATATGAGTACACATTTTTTAAATTGACAATTTAAAAAAGAATTGTACATAGTACTTATAGTGTGCAACGTATTTTGATATGTGTATAAATTGTGGAATAGCTAATTCAAGCTACTTAACATAAGCATTACCTTACATAATTTCTGTGGGATGAGAACATTTAAAATCTCTATTAGCAGTTTTTAATGATATAGTTTTATTAACTGTAGTCACCATGTTATTCAATAAATCTCTTGAATTTATGCTTCCTATTTAACTGAAAGCTTTCGTACTTTGACCAAAATCTCCCCAGTCTTCCAGTAACCATTATACTTTCTGTTTCTGTGAATTCCGCTCTTTTAAATAACACCTACAAGTGAGATCACAAGGCATTTGTCTCCCTGGTGTCTGGCTTACTTTGTGGAACTTGAGAATTGTGTATATTACAATACAGTACATGTGAGGACAATCTGAAAAAATTCGTTCTGAAAATAGTAGACTCCCAAACTGAGCCACCCTGTGCCAGGTAGCTTTACTTTTTTTTTTTTTAATACAGTATTGTTAAATTTAGGCACAGTCTTGTAAAGCAGATCTCTAGAACTTAATGATCTTGCATAGCTGAAACCTTGCTTTGCTGTTAAGCTTTCTAGTAGTCAAGGCAAATGAGATATATTTATAGGACATCTTAGTTTGGATACTGCTACTCTTTTCTGGAAAATGTGTTCAGATTCATCTATAAATCTGGAATCTAAACTGTTGATCCTCTTTAGAGGCTCAGCTGTGTACATCATTAATGGGCTTTCATGTTTCAGCTATTTTAATAAATCCCGGAGTGTGACTGGTGCTGAAACACCTTGAGGAACAAAGCATTTGTATTCTCCTCACTCTGCTTCCTTATCAGCTTGTAAGTCCTCCAGTTTTTTTTTCTTTTTTTTTTTCATCCTCTTCCCAACATTTTTTCTAATTTTTAGAGCAAGAAACAAGAACCGTTAAATACATAAATGATCAAGAAGTTATGTTCCTGGTTAAACTATCAAATATTATTGGCATCCTATGGAACCCTACATTTAACAAAGCCTGTTTACAGAAAATCTACTACCCTCGTGAGAAAGATTTATCCACAGTTACGAAATTGTGGGTTATGAAAGAACTTGAAACTTGTAGGAATTTAGACGTTGTTTGCTTTTGAATCTAGGTATTTGACTAGGATGAGAGCAGTGCTTAAATTTTGCTCTATTGAAAGTAATTGGCTAACCTTGGTGGGTGGGAGGTGACAGATTAAGTTAGATGTGCTAATCCTAGAATTATTTCGTAGCACTTGTATGCTTGGCATAAAATTTTTCTCAGGTAACGTTTTGTTGAAATATAAAATTTGATGAAAATTATATATGAGAAAAGCCAGCACATGTGCTGTTAGAATCAAGAGGATTCTGTCCCGGTAGTTGTGTTTCCACCGTGAGGTCTGTAAAAGAAGCAAAGCAAAATAGGGAAACAAATAAGAATACACTTCTTCCTTTCCACGGAAAATGACTGAGCAATCTGTCGAGCAACGTACCACCCTCGGACCTACCAGAGGCCTAAGAGCCACCTAACCCAGAATCTGAAAGATGAGGGAAATGATGTCTGCAGAGCGCCTTTCTCAGAGGAGCCCCAATAAGGGGACGGACAGGGGCTGGCTAAAACTTTTAGCCTTCTGGGGTCTCAGGGTTCTTACTACTTAGTAAAATGTTCTAGTGAGGCCTTTCTGAGAAGTAGCCATCAAAACTGCAGACTGAGTGCTGTGTCCCTCTCTCTATCTCCACTCCCATTACAAAGGTGGGCCCTGCCCCTTTTTATGACCAGCCATTTCTCTTGGCCTTGTCTCTCACCCAGATCCCTGGCACTGGAGGCCTGGAGGCCTCCTGACGGGCCTCCCAGTCTCTACTTTGGTTCCCCTGGAGTCTGTTCTCCACCTAAAGCAGAGTAGTCTTTTTAAAGGATTAACCAGATTACCTGTCTCTTTATGAATTATTGGATCAAGATGGCAAGGTCCTATCTGCCCAGCAGGTGTCATGTGTCCTGGCGTAGCTCTTGCCCGTCCTCCAGCCCGCCCCTAGCCCCATTCACCTTCTTACTGGTCTTCTTCCTAATGAGCTCCTCCCGGTTCAGGGTTCTGCACATGCTGGGTCCTCTGCCTGGAGCGTTCTGTCCCCACCTTGCACGACTGCTTCTTCTCAGACCTCAGCTCAGGACCTCCTCAGAAGGGCTTTCCTGACCACCCTACTTGAGGAAGTATCTTCTTCCCCAGTTTTCCAAGATGTGTGGGCAATGACTGATTTATAATTCTCCAAATCGTTGTGGATTGAGGTTTTTGTAGGACGTAACAAAGATGCTACAGTAGTGTCAAACTGCCATAAAGGTTTTCAGCACTCACTCTTGGTTTCTTGGTACAATCCTGTCAGGAGCTGGTACCAAACAGTGGGGAACCATCACCGATCCGTGGATGATTCTTTGAGTAGCAGCATTGCTCCACCAGTTACCTTGTGTGTGTCTGTAAAAGCAACCACTCTGCTTGTTTTCTGTATCCCCAGTAGAACCTGAGTTCCATGATGACCGAGATTTTATCTTGGACGAGTGACCCATCCATCCACAGCTCCAGGACCAGTGCTAACACACACTAGTTCTTGTTAAATCCAAGTGAACACCCAGCCCCTGATGTGCCTGCCCTGTCTGGCCCCTGCCAAGCAGGAGGGGATCATAGGAGGCCCAGACTGCCCCCCCCTTTTCCCCCAGGTGGATCTAATTCATCTCCACACCCAGCATCTGTCACTAAGTCTACTGCTACCTCACTGCATGACCCTAACTGGTGCTGCATGCCCTATCTGCAAAGCAGGCAAGATGTTTCCTCCACCATAAAACAAGGTCATCCTCCTGGACACATTTTGTGACCACACTCTTGGACACCCTGCATGGCTTCTCAGATTTACAGTGATTTTGTAACTACAAGCAAATGCTGGCTTTCTCCTTGACAGTGTTTAATGTGCTAGAAAGGGGTCAGCAGACACTTGTGTAACGGGCCACAGGGCAAATATTTTAGACATTGCAAGCTACGTAGGTCTCTCTTGGTCACTCCCCCCCCACCCCACCCCCCCCGCATAGCACTTCACCTGTGCCTGCTCTGTGTGGGACCCCACTTCTGTAGGTACTCGGGTTTTAGAAAGGGACTTCCCCCCACCCCACCCCCGCCACACCAACTCTTTAAAACTATAAAACCCATTCTGAGCTCGAGGGCCTTGTGAAAGCAGGCCAGGGCTTAGTCTGCCAATCCCTAGTAATAGATGGAATTATATTTCCATGGGGGTCAGTAAATTTTATTTTATGTTTGAATGAGATAAGAAATGTGATGCATAACAGTTTTATTTTTCTTGAATTGGTCTTCTTACAAAAATGTTAATTAACATGTTCATACTTTACACCCCTTCTGTCCTGTTTTCAAGCATCCTGTGAACACCAGTGAGCTTTGGAATAGCTTCTCTCAGCCCCAAATCAGCATTCTCCAGAGGCTTTGTGGTTTGTGTAGGGAACTCACAGCACGTTTGCCCGTTTATATAGACCATTTTTAGGTTAGACATAGACGCTGATAATGACACATTTTCGTCTGCCATTCGAATTATATTATATTCTTTTCTGAAATCTTTCCCTGACGTTTCACCTGCTTATAGACATCTGATGAAACATATGGAATTTAAAACTGATATAAATGGTCTTGTTTCATTTCTTAGTAATAGCCAGATGTGAATTATTATGAGGCCACATTTTTATAGTATTGTAAACTTTCTGACGGCTTGGTTATAAAAGAGGTGTGCTTAGATCTTCTGTGGAAACAGCCCTTTCCCTGCCTTTGCAGCCAGCATTTCCTACCCTGCTTACAGACCATTGTAAGTTGGTGATGTTCTTATTTATATTTGTTTCCTTTTTTTTTTAATGTATTTTTTGGCTGCAGATTTTAGCAAAGTTCTCTGAAGTTAATATGGTCTTAGTAAGTCAGAATCAAAATTGATCAAAACTGATAAACTAGTACCCGGGTATCTCTGTCTCTTTAATCTGAAATGCCTTGGGACCACTAGCTGCTGAGTCAGAACCTGGAACCCTGGCACTGTGTACACGTAGCTTATGGACAACGCATGACCGGAGCCACAGGACGGCATATTCAGAGCACAGATTCCAGAGCCAG